TTTATTCCCACAAATGCCAGTATTTAATGTCCTTAAATCCAGATGCTAAGACATCATGAGTGTAAACTATTAAAATTATTTCTTAAAGATCAGCAGGCAGAAAAAGTTGGTGTGAAGTGGTTTCTGGTGGTGCCTTCTTTCAGTTTTACATTTCAAAGGCAGCTAATGAACAACAGAATTATTTGTTTGGAGGCCCTTGGAAGCACAAGCCAAGATCACCTTATCCTTTCACCCAGGTCCTGGGTATGGAGAGGAGAGGAAGGAGCCAGAATCTTTGCTGCTTTAGCCTCTGTTAAAAGCCACAGTGGCATAATTCTTTGCTCAAGGTCACACAGCAAGTCAGAATGCAAGAATAAAATCAAGAATCCCAGCTCCATACACTGTTCTGTACACCCCCAACAAGTAGCAACAGAGCTCATGTCCCCTGGTCTAATTAATCTACTCAGCGATTCAATGAGTGATTTAAGTGCAAGCAAAAACAAACATCAAGAGAAGTGACAAATTCTACCGTGGCTCGGGCTATTTACTTGACTCAGGAGAAGGTGCTTTCCTGAATAAATGTACAATAGGGTCAGGAGGTGTTTTGTGCCTTCCCTTTGCCTTTTGTCTGCATTAAGCTGTTTATGACGTGCTCAGCACAGCAGAAAGGTAGTGAGTGGGAAAGAAACAGGTGAAAATAAACTTCTCCCTTTATTTTAAAGAGCTTGAATTGAGTATTAAAAAAAAAAGAAAAAAAAAGAAAAAAAAAAACTTGGCCACAAGTAAGTTACATAACTTAAGCCAGTCTAAAATTATGTGCCAGCAATTTACATGAGTTTTATGTAACTGTTTATACTGCTGTTTATTTAAAAATTACTACTTATCTTGGCGACCGCAGCAACACATCGTGCATTCGCTAGCTCTGGAATACAGGGCACCTTCATTAAAACACATAGTCACCAATATATTAAACACACAAAAAACCCCTGCTCTGACATAACATGAAGTGTCAGATGGAAAGCCGCAACAGCAAAGACATTCAGCGTTCACAACAAAGCAGCCCTTTGGGGTGTTCAGAACAGGACTGGAACATGCTCCATCCTTAATTCACCCAACAGCTTTCAGGTCCTTTACAGCACAGTCGGTGCAGTCTACAAGACCAGCTCCTGTTCCTGGGCTCTTATAAAGGACCCTCTTCATCCTCGGGTTTCTCTACTCCAGCGTGTTTATATTCAGCATTTACGTGCTGAGGTGAGGCAGCCTTTTGTTCTCTCTTAAAGTCCCAAGTACTTCAGCGTGACACAAATGGTTGGTAATTTCTGTTTACTGCCACAGTTGTCTCCCAGCACTCCCACAAAGAGGGCAAAGAAACAGCTAAATCTTCCTGATGGGTTGCTGTGCACAAATTACCTAATTTTTAGATCCAGGTTAATCACAAGGGTAAGATCATTTATGTGTAGCTGTGTATTGGTACCAGGAAGGTCTGTACACATCCCACAGAGTCAGAGTGGGAGTAGGGGCAACACTGGCCTAAAATGTGTAACAGAGCTCATGGGATATTGCCCCTTGTTTTGGGGCCTACAAGATGCTCTACCTCTCCTTCCTTCATTTTCCCATCTAGGAAACAGGAACACTGGTATCCACATCCTTCTAAGAGGTTTATAACCCAGTGAACGAGTACAGCAGAATATTATGTATTATTTTTAGGTGGCCATTATGGTAGAAAGCTGAAATCTGTCAATGTACAGCAGGAGATATAAACTTAAATTACTTCAGTTGATTTGCATTTCTTTAAAGCTAAAGCATGTCATCTTCTTCTCACTTGAATCATTAAATATCACGGGGGGGAAAAAAGTTTGTTAAAATCAAAAGTAAGCAAAAAAATTCCAGAATTTGTTATGAGTTTCTTTACAACAGATATACTTTGAAACGAGGGGAAAAAGAAGGCACTATTCCAACACAGCTGTTGAAAAAATATTTATTTTTCAGTTATGGAAATTTTTATTGAAACTGGGGGACGGGGTTTTTTCCAAAAGTGAGGTTTTTAAATAAATATATTTAAAAATTAAGTTTGGAGTAACTTTGGATACACCATCTTGTTGGGTAAATATCCTTTAAAAGGGGGGGGTTCTCAATCATAATGATAACCATAACCTGATCCACAGGCTAATATCGTATTCCTACGTTTTCAATTCCACGGGTCTCAGCCACCACAGGGCAAGTTAAAATAAAGTGAGTGCAAAATGCTGGCAATCCTGGCTGTGTAATGAGAAGCACAGCTGGGCAGCCAGGGAAGGCTGGGCTGGGTGAGGGGGTCGGGGGGCACCCACAGGGGTGGCACCTCAGCACCCGGCACAGGACAAGCAGGGAATAGTTTTCCTTCAAGGGACCAGGGGATCAGTGTCACCCAGTAAGGGGATGAGGGCACTCGCCCTGCACGTGGGGGTTCACCAACAACACGAGCTGGGGCAGCAGTTTGGCCTAGAACATGAGCTGGGATTTACTGTCACAAAACCCCTTCCCTGCTGTTCCTGAGAGGGTTTTAAAGGCCGAGTCTGCCTGTTCTCCCCTTCGAAACTCAGCTTCTCTCTCTGAACTCAGTGGGTCTTGATCATTTCTGAGAACGAGCTGCCATGCTGCTGGTAGTCCCAACACCAGTATCCCGGTGTTCCTGCTGGTCACATGCTTGCAATCCTGTGATATAACTTATAGAAGATAACTTATCCTAGATAAGTTAACTCTTCAGGCAGTGTGTCAGGATCTCAAACATTGGAGCCCTCTGTTAAATGCCTAATACAAGAGGAAGGGTTGAGAAGGAGACCCACATCAAGAACAGGGTTGCAATGTTTAGCTGTGAAAGCCACCCAAATTTAAATATGCCTCTTGAACTGCCAGCTTACGTTTGGGGAATCTCCAGTCCAGAGAACAGTTAAAAATTTGGGAAGCTCAGAAGTGGCTTAAAGCCACTTCCAGCCTTGGCTTTTGTTTTGTGCTGCCTGAAGTGTGACCCTCCCACATGGAGTGGGACACTCAGGTGTGCCTGGAGATTCCAATGAAGGCAGGATTTGTGGGCAGAATCTGTCTCAAGTGACTCTGTCTTGCTCAGCGTGAATCTTTGATAAGTAAAATAGTGAGGGAAGTGACTCCAAGCTGTTGACAACCTGTTCAGCAGTCTGAACAGGATTTCTCCTTCTGGTTTCTCCTTCTGGAAAACAGAAAACATGTCTAAGTTTGCAGCATGTGTAGAGTGTCTGCAATGATTTAATGCAAGTGGAGTTAGAAACCTCGAAAATCACGGTTTACAATGGAAACTCTGACAGGCCATCAAGTTCAATGTTACTTATAAGTACTCCTATAATTAGGTTGTCAACAAAACCCTACAGTATGGTACCATAACAGTCTCTATATTTTCATATCAATGCACAGAGATAGCTGCCATTAAAGGTGGTGGCAATTAGCTATTTAAAACCCATGGAAAACTAAAGAAATACGCAGTGAAAAAAGCTGAAAGATAATGGACAAAACCAATATTCTTTTCACTGCAGCAAACACAAAAATGTTACAGATCATGCTGGGCATTCACAAACTGCAATCACAGACAAGGAGCTACTAGGGGAGAAGGGAAAAATGAGTTGTGCTATTGATACTTGGCTATTTTGGAAAGAATGTGTTGGCAGTTAAATGTTGTATATGCTGAGCAGAAAATTCTCTGAAGCAGTTTTCTTTTAATATGAAAATACCAGTATGACACTGCCAGAAGATGAAAATTCCCCATGCTGAAATTAGAACACCTATATCCTCTGATCTATTGTAAATTATTGACTCCAATACTAATGAATATGCAAATAGAGTATCTAAGAACTATTCTGCAAATTTAAAAGGAAAGCTTTGTGTTGAAATCTCTGCTTTGGTGTAAATCCAGGATATTAATGAGCTCTCCCAATTCCCACTGTAGAATAATTCAACAGATTCATTTCATAATGGTTTTGATAGGTTTTCCTGGAAGTTTGGGTCTGAAAGCACAAGTCACTAAATCCCAGAGGTATCACTGCAGGATCAGCCTTACCTCTAATCATGGCATCTGTCATTAATAAAGAATAATTTAAGAAAAAAGGCTGGTTTTCTACCTGCAGCCATCAGTTCCCCACTTGCATATATTCTTTCTTTCTTCAAATTACCCAGTAGTTTCTCATGGTCTGATACTGTTTTATGTGCATATTAATTTTTTGCAAATACTGAGGAAGAGCACAGACAGCAGGAATTCCATAAGCCCTGAAGCAGGAATATGAGTGACAGGAGCACTTTGGTGAAGGTGCCCATTGTATTTCAGGCTGCAGGGCAGATGGGAGGGATCTCTCAGCCCAGCACCTCTTAATTCCCTCCAAAAGTGGACAGAGCTTAACAGGTCCTTGTGGAGCTGTGTCATTTCAGTGACCACAGGAACATCAGGCCTGGACAGCAGAGCCAGAACCCACTGAAACCAATGCTGAGGCTCCAGTGAGTGTCAGGTCTAGTCCAAGGAGGATATTTCTATCCAAATTAGCCAAGGGTAGGTGATGAAAGTTTTGTGGACCTGTGGAGCAAAAAGAATTCTCTGCCCATGCAGATCCAATGCAAACCAGTGCTTTTTGTTGGTTTGGGTGTAAAAACAGCCAAAAAAAAAAACATTAACAGGCCCAATTCCTCTACCTTCTCTTTTCCACTACTTCTCTTTCTTTAAAAGGAAATTGTTTAAACGAGGGCAAATGTTGGCTGAAGGTAATTTGTATTGCATTCTATTTCTATGCATTCTTTCCTGAAAAGCTTTTGAACAATATTTTGCTTTTGTCCCCCACACACAGAGATATAATTTAATTACCGTGTAAAGCTTTCCTAAACATTACTGTTTAACATGACTTTTAGTATCCACATGGACTGGGAAAGTGCAAGGAGAAAAGCTAACCTGGGAGTGACTCAAGTCCTTTGACTTCTTTGCTTGGACTGGTATCTGATTTGATTTTCTCCTGCCATTTGTTTCCTAGTGGAATGGAGCTCTTCAGAAGACTTTTCTCCTTTGGCTGGTGAAATAATTATGGATAATCTTCAGTCTTTGAGGTGCTCCATCACAGGTCTCAGAACAGTAAGTGCCAGAGGACTCTTTAGACCTTGATAATACCCAGTGATACCAAGATGGATAATCTGCACTCCTGCCCGTTGGTAATCACTGCAGTGCCTTTCTTGGAGCAACATGTTCCAGGGACTGGGCACAATATGTCTGGTATCCATAATCCAAAAGTGACAAAGGAATGGACAATTCAGTATGAACCATTCCATGAGTTGTCATTCAGAGGGGAGATTGGAAAAGACTGGAGTGAAAACTGCTGTTTTCTGGATCATGGGACAACCTGAGTGCAGATCAAAAGCTCTTGAGAGATCTAGTCCTGACTCTGATGACCAATACCTAAAATAACAATTCTTTCTCTTCTCCCTTTCAGGGAACACACATGTTGGTGGAAATCATTTTAATTTTTGTTCTTTATCTTTGTCTATCCGTTTTACACCAATCAGAACTGGGTCAGCAATGGAGAAAATTGATGAATATTGATACGGATTCTTAAGCAGAATCATTTTGACCATGTGTCTGAAAGTCTTTTTCCTACATTCAGTGCCATTTGTACAAATGAATTTTGATTCACAAAATACTTGATGAAAACAAAACCTCTCAAAATACAAGTATTCCCACCAGAAACAGCATCAGAGGGGCCAACCCAGCAGCCACTGGGCTGGAGCCTTTCCACTGAATCTACTGCACACTGAATCAGAACTACAAAGGGGAGGTGTGGATGTGGCCCTTGGGCAATGTCCCAAAACAGAGGCTCTCAAAATGAGAGAATAGAATAGAATAGAATAGAATAGAATAGAATAGAATAGAATAGAATAGAATAGAATAGAATAGAATAGAATAGAATAGAATAGAATAGAA